CCCGTTGATTTATACTAATAATTCCTTTGTGGGGAATCCCTCACAGGGAATTGCTCTGAAAAATTAGGAGCTTAGAATTTTTGTCTTAGGATAAGGTCAATAAGCTGTAATTTAGCACTATGCAATATATGGGACTCATATGACTACCTTTTTTTTATTATTTGAACAATTCCAAAATTCTGTGCAAACTTCAATAAATTAAAAATTTACATCGTTTCAATTGAATTTTTACTTCTAGTTGATATTTCCTGAAAATCCCAGTGAATCAACTTCGGTCCAAATTAAGCTATTTCAATGAATGAAGCTTGCTTAGAATCGCTATGCAATGAGGAATCTAAATATATAGGTTTAATGTGAAAATTCATAAAAATGAAAAAAAAAATCCTACGAAGAACAAAAGGGTCTGCTGTGATTTGTTGAGGGCAATAAAAGACTGGGTCCGTGCGAGAAAAGGTCTGGCCGGTCGGTCAGCCTTCTTCGTTTCNTAAAAAGACTGGGTCCGTTCGAGAAAAGGTCTGGCCGGTCGGTCAGCCTTCTCCGTTTCAGTATATGGGCCTCATAAGCACACCACATAATCTGAGTACCTGACGCTGCCTCGAAATTGGAAAATTTTATTTTGCATTTTTCATTGCTTCAAAATGGAGCAAACTATTGNCGATTCTAGTTTCCTGGATAGTGATCCATCCACATCGGACGAGAGGGATGATTTCACCACAGCGTTGAAAGTTGTCCGTTCTCTGCATGTTACAAATGACATAGCCGAGAGAAGTGTTGCTCTCATGAGTGAGTATTATACTTTACTCACGAAAGATGAGAGCAGCAAACAACATGCAATGTCAGTTGTCANTACCTGACGCTGCCTCGAAATTGGAAAATTTTATTTTGCATTTTTCATTGCTTCAAAATGGAGCAAACTATTGCATTTTTTGCAAGAAGATACGCAGATTCTTGGAAAATCATTCAACGAAATCCCACAGGAATCAGTCAACTTTGAACAGCCGTACGGGGTCTCCGAACACCCCTATATTCAGCGTAATTCATGCTATTTTAATCAATTATAAATGAGTTGGAAAATTCAAAAGATTTTTTCATTCTTCGATGCACTGCGAAGAGTTTTGTGGTNCCATTGGAAAGTTTTTAAAATAATGAACCAACGGAATATAGATAAAAAAATTTGCACCAAATTACTAAACAAATATACCTACATTTCAATATACCCTATTCATGAATTATTGTACCTGATAATTCAAAAGAGAAAATTTCCTCTTCAGAATAGAAAAAAAATATCTTGGATATCTTCACCTACTATTCAGTTAAAAAGCTCAACTTGGAGGCATTTTTCTTGCGTTGAATATGCAAAATTTTGTTTAGATACTTGACGAGATGTTTTAATTATTTTCTGATTAATCGGGAAATTTGTCACTACTCGATCTAATATGTTACAACTTCAAAAGGGTTATGTTGTCAGTTACTTGAATTTTGTACGCAAAGCGGCTCATTCAATGTTTTTAATTAAATCATGAATTGATTCTTTCTTCATAAAAATGATGATCTGTAGAATTCATCACACATTGAACACCGGCCATAACAAATGAATTATCAATTANGGCATAAAAAGACTGGGTCCGTTCGAGAAAAGGTCTGGCCGGTCGGTCAGCCTTCTCCGTTTCAGTATATGGGCCTCATAAGCACACCACATAATCTGAGTACCTGACGCTGCCTCGAAATTGGAAAATTTTATTTTGCATTTTTCATTGCTTCAAAATGGAGCAAACTATTGCATTTTTTGCAAGAAGATACGCAGATTCTTGGAAAATCATTCAACGAAATCCCACAGGAATCAGTCAACTTTGAACAGCCGTACGGGGTCTCCGAACACCCCTATATTCAGCGTAATTCATGCTATTTTAATCAATTATAAATGAGTTGGAAA